GGTGCCATTTTGTTTGATAACTTTTTGCCGTTTTGTAGGTAGGGACATGATCCCATTTCTACGACAAATGCTTTTGGCAGTCCTCTTCTGATGTTACCCTGATACTGCCTAAACAATTCTGAAGAGACCAAAACAGGTGGAAATCTGAAGGTGCAAGGTCAGGACTATATAGCGGATGCATTACCACCTCCCAGTCAAACTATCTTAATTTTTGATGAGTGGTTAAAGATGTGTGTGGTTTAACGTTATCATGATGAGAAACCGCACCCCTTCTGTTGATTGATTCCGGCCGCTTTCACACAACTCCTTGCTTTAATCTCATCAGTTGTTCGCAGTAGAGTTCAGAATCGATGGTGCTGCCTGGCGGTAACAGCGCGTAATGAATAATGCCCTTGCAATCCCACCATACCATCACCTTGTTGCGAGTTCACCCGGGTTTCACCAGTCTGAGAACCTGACCTGACCGGTCTTTGACCACGACCTTTTCCGTATGTTCTTGTCGTACGTGAGCCACTTTTTATCACTAGTTATCAGCTTCTTCAAAAATGGTTCGGCTTGCGTTGCATTTTATGTAGTAAATTTTTCAAATGTATCGTTTTTTTTTTCTAAATGGCTTCGCATGACTTTGCATTTGGCCAATGTCAAGTGTTAAAATGTTAACAAATACTATAGCACTCGTGGTCAAAGTAATAAATCAAGTCAAAGTAATAAATCAAGTCAAAGTAAGTGGCAGTCAAGTCAATCCCCCTTTCCCTATGTTTCAGTAAAAGTGTGGGGATTTACTGGAACCTCCCCGTGGACTTCTTGAGGGAACGTCGAAAGACACTTTCCGCTATTTTGTTTCACTTGCCAACACTTGTGTATGTTCTCGAACACTTAGTGGTTAATAATCCACCATTATTAGACACTAACATCCACCACACATTTTTTAACAAGAAAAACAAAACTGCTAAGGTGACGCTTCCCGATCTCGCCAAAAAGTCCATGTATCGGATTTCTTCATTACATTCACTCATCTTGACAGTAAGAAAAACAAATGAAAATCACACATTTTTCTAATTTCAATTTGGAATTAATTATCTTCGTTACAAATCAAACTTTTTTATAATACCAAAACCAGCCAATGGTATTGTTGTAATGGCCAAAGAGATTTAATTACAAGATCATACATACTTTGATGCAAAAATACTTATTCTCCAACTTTATTATACAGAAGAAGAAACAAGACGAAGATTGTCTGAGATAGTAACATTTTATTTTGATAACAATGGACATGTCATGAAAAACTGTTTCAAAAATGATTGCAGCTCAACTAATTGCAAATTAGGTGTCATGCGTTTTTTTATTTTAAAAGGGTGGTAAACAAGCGTTGGGTAAGCGGCCATCTAAGCTTAATAGGTAGTAGACGTTTGCAACACCAAATATCACTCGCACCGTTGCCTACCCTTTTTTTAATGACTGGAAAATGTTTTACGCATTCTCCGCTCACTGGGAGAAGCAAAGCGGAGTTATCCGGGACTCCTCCCCACTCCCTTAACCCAACCGCATGGCTCGATGAAACGAGTAGGGGCCTACCTTATCGGTAAAAACCAGTCATACTCCAGCACCTTTCGGCCGACATGCATCCCGAGGACCGCGATCCCTGACATGCATATTGGTAGGGCGGGCCGTTACATGGTACACCCACGTGGGAAAGTCCTGATCCAATCCCCCGTGGAGCCTTGGAACACACTCACCGACAGAAACACAACGCACACAAACGGTATTGTTTGTTGTGATTCTCAGTAAGGTGGGGGTCACTTCCTCAGACGGGCGCTCCAATTCGAGCGGGAAACCCGCTATGCTTCACCTCTCATGATATTATAAAGACTCATTTGAATTAATTGCGCCAAAACCGCAGACATTTATTTAAGTACGTTTTAATATTTATAAACGCGTTAAACGCTATGGTAAAATATAAAATTTGAATATTTATCTATTATTAACCCACGGTTAGTATGTAAGATTATGTTAAGTGAGTAGTAAAGTGAGGATGAGTCACTTGATGAGTTTAGACAAAAATAATTTTATCGCGGATTTGAGTTGGGTACTAATCTATATATAAAGTCGTTAGTTAGAACACTTTTATTTCAAGAACGGCTAGACAGGCGCTATGTGATTAATTTTCTGCACACAGCAAACAGTTACATTGCTGACAGAATTGCTGAAAGATCCATCTGATCTGCTGAGGATTCCTCCAAGCAATTGCTGACTGTTATTTTCTCATTTTGGTCAAAGTATTCCCGAATTCCTTTCATGTCCTTTTCTTCAGGGCACAACACTTTAGCTAGAGAGCAGTATCCCCATGCTCGGTATGGAAATGAGTTTTGACTTAAATCCATAGAATTACATTGAAAGCATGGTAAAACGGCTCACGCAAACTCGGAGTCTTGAACAAGGGGCGGCGTTTTTGTTACGCCCGAACAACTGTGCTTGTTGTATAAGACGCAGGTGCGGTTTTGCGTGGAATATTGCTCGCACCTCTGGGATGGCTCCGCCAAGTACTTGCTCGATGCTTTGCATAGGTTACAGCGGCGCGCAATCCGCATCATAGGCGATGAGGAGGTGACTAAACACCTCGAGCCTCTTCAATTACGCCGTGACGTGGCGTCACTAAGCGCGTTCTATCGTCTGTACCACGGCGAGTGTTCTGAGGAGTTATTCTCTCTTATTCCACCTCCCCTTTCCTTCAGAGGACCACGCGCGCTGGCCTACGTTGTCACCGTCTAACTGTGGCCACAATTCCGACGCGTACAAAGTTTGGTGACCCATTTATTTGTCGCACTATCCGTAAATAAGTACTCTGCCCGCTCACGTGTCCCCTTCTTCTTACTAACCTGGGATCCTTCAAAAGAGGCGTGAAGAAGCAACATGCAGGCCGAAAGGTGAGGATGGCTGTTGAGGCATGTAGAACTGCTGTATCAGGTATCTTCACGTCTGGACTTCACCGTCACTTAACATCAGGTGGGGTAGTCATTTGTAGGAACTATCTATAGAATCTAAAGAAAGAGAACATTCTTTACCAACAAAAAAAATGATTGAGCGAGAGAGCAATTTTAGGTGGCTTAGAAGACCGATGTGGATGAATTTAACTTCTTTATCAGGAACACGTTGTTGGTACTCTATATTCATTGTGTAACAGATGAAGACATAGCCTCCAACTATCGGATTGACTTTTAAAATCAAAAAAGCGTCTGGCTGGTGTCTCCTACGAGAAAGCTCTGTAAGAGCACTATTTAAAACTGCTTAGCATAGCAGCATAGCTCGGTGGTGATAATTCTTCGAAATCTAAACCAACCACGTAATAGAACACATCATTTGGTGATAAAAAAAAGTGTATAATAGTGGTTGTGTACTTTTATTATAATTTAATATTAGTATCCCACTAAAGTATTCAACTTTTTTATTTGTTGTATTTAAGTTGTTTTACAATCGTTAATTAAAATTAAGCCAAATATAACGATATTCTCCTATTTTAAGCGGTACGAAGTTCGCAGAGTCACCAAGTACCTATTAAAATAGTTTAAAGTTCAGCTTGCGCGTTTATTTACAGTTATGAAAGTGTAAGTTTATTTTGAATGAATAAAATTTTAAACGAAGGTGTTAACTAACGTGAACGTTTTGGTCATATGCATATGTTGTTATAGTATATATTTTTACAATGTCAGCTGTAAAATGGTTAAAGATTTAGATTAGATAGCTTTCACGATGGTTCGTATAAAATACAGATTAAAAAAATAAAGTAAGAAATATAGATACTTACGAATCTCGGAAGCAACAGCTCGTGAAGGAAAGGATAGTCCGCCAGAAGGAGAGTTAATGACCCAATGGTGTTCGATAATTATGTTAATGGGCCGTAGCCCGTAATTGTTGATGTTAATCAATCTTCGCCCGGCCGACGCGCTGCTATCTATCTCACTTGTTTAAAATCATTATTTTTTTGCGGATTCACGGTGAAAGTATTTATATAGTCACGTTATACTTTAATATACCTATAAACATGAGAGTAATTATGTTATGAAAAATTAGCTTTGCGGGATTGTCAGATCATCCAAATTTAGCTTCCGGCCGTGGCTTCGCCTGCGTGGACGTCAGCTTTTTATCCCATTTTAATCCACCATAGGATGGATGAATTAGATCAATAATCAAAATAAAAACTATCGTATCATAATATGTTTTTTATTTATACATTTTCATAATTCAACATAATGAGTTAAAGGTCATTGGGCACCTTAGTATGGAAACCATACCCATGGCGGACACAAACGAAATATAGCAGAGTATTGATATATGGCTCTGATTTACTATGGCATTAGTCACATTAATGTGAGCCACGGGAATCTCAAAAATCAAGCATAAGATCATTTAAAAAAGCAGCGGGTGCATCTGTTGCTTCCTGATGTCTGGCCCAAATCAGATAATAAACTATGCTAGCGATATGGGCGCAGCTCCCGACAGTGCGGCGGCCGTGTATACATCAGCACTAATACTCTTCTTTACGTCTCTTTTCTCTCTTATGTTCGCTGTGTATATTATCTTCGTATGGCCGCCGTGTAGCGTTAATAACTGCCGCAGTTATTTTAAAATCAGGCATCATATATCGCATCACAACATTAAAATATGTGTGTCGAAATATTTTAAAATCTTTCTTAAATCGTTGCAAACACTAATGTAGTCGATAAAACAATACATTAAGCAAACAGGGTAAGCGTAAAGTCGCAATGATAGCTAACGAAGGACCGTTGTTCTTCGTCCTTTCTGGCGTGAGCCACTGCGGAGGTTGCGGGTTCGAGGAGGTTCGGTCGTTGGGGTTGGCCCCCGCCTCCGCTTCTTCATACGTCGCCTTCGGCGCGGTCAAGCCCACCGGGTGAGACCCATGAGGGAGGCCCAGTGAGCGACCAGCGAGCGGGCGACGGACTTCAGCGGGCGGGGGCGGTGTCGTATCCGGGGGTAGGTGGCAAAAAAAGTTTTTTAATACAGTTGCTCAAAAAGTGGCGTATTGCAGGGACGTGTAGCGTTCGGGATCTGGGCTATTTCACACTCGTGCTTTTTTTTGCCTTTCCCGAACTCGTGCGTTTTCTTTCCCAACTGTTTCTTCTTTCCCAAAAAAACAACCATGAAGTTTTAACTAAAAAAATCATAGAAGTTTTTGCGATTCATGCAAATAGGTTTATTTGTTTTTAAAAAGAAGCTACCTATACTAATTTGTCCAATATCAGAATTAATTAATTGATTGAATGAGTTAGGTAAGGTTTCAGTTCATTTCATATTATTAAATTTCAATTTCATTTCTTATAATAAAAAATACTAAGTACTAAAGACTTGGCTGTATGGGCAGTTCCCTTTGCCTACCAGATTAGGTGAAAAACAACTGCTAACATTCTACGGTTGGCGCCATTTTCCGAAATTTTCTTTGCGAGTTTAGTTGTTTTTTACACAAAATGAGTAATTTTGACCTAAATTTTTTTGAATTAACTCCACCGGAACTCAGTATAATTGCACAAAATGCTTCGGTGAACATTTTACCGGAAAAGTCAAAAATTCGCTACATATCTACATACGATGAATTTATTGCGTGGAAAGAAGAGAAAAAAGCAAATAGTTTTTCAGAAAATGTTATGTTGGCATACTTTTCCGAACTCTCAGCAAAATTAAAACCTTCTACGTTATGGTCAAGGTTTTCGATGATAAAAAGTATGCTGAAAATAAGGAACAACGTGGATATAAGTCAATATCCAAAATTAAATTCTTTCTTAAAACGACAATCAGACGGGTTTACCAGTAAAAAGTCGAAAATATTAACATCAAATGACGTGGAAAGGTTTTTGAAAGAAGCTCCCGATGATTGTTATTTAGCCACAAAGGTAATTTATTAATAAGTATACATATCTACATTTTTCTTTAGTGTTCAGTTTACAAAATCGCAAAATACAGTCAATACATTATTTATATGAATCAAATCGTTTTTTTTAGGTTGCTCTGATTTTTGGCGTTGTTGGAGCTTGCCGCAGAGAGGAGTTAGCCAATATTACTTTAAAAGATATTGAAGCCCATGGAGAAATGCTACTTATCAAGATTCCAAACACAAAAAATAAGATACCGCGAAGCTTTGTTGTTGAAGGAGATTTTCTCACAATAGTGAAAAAATATATGAACCAGCGGTCCCAAAAAGGAAAATCCGACCGTTTTTTTCAAAATTTCCAAAAAGGGAAGTGTACAGCTCAAGTAATCGGCATAAACAAATTTGGTAATATGCCAAAAGAAATAGCTACGTTTCTTGGTCTGCCGGATGCTGAGTGTTATACTGGGCACAGCTTCAGAAGGACCTCTGCTACATTATTGGCAGATTCAGGAGCCAATTTGACGTCCTTAAAGCGACTAGGTGGTTGGAAATCGGACAAAGTTGCAGAAAGCTATATTGGTGATGCATTAAACAACAAACTAGAAACTGGGAAAAAGATCACACAATCCATTAATTTAAGGTCCAGTCCGTCTCCTTCACATGCTGAAGAGAACGTTCGTCCATCTACGAGTACCTTCGTTGATAATGATAATTCATCAGATCCAATTCCATCAACTAGCAAACGCCATTGTATGACAAATATACATGAACAATCATACGAAATTAATAATAGTTTGTCTCAAACAGTAAATATGCAACGTAAAACTTCCCCAGTTAGTATAAAAAACTGTACCAATTTCAATGTATATGTGAATTATAACTTTTATAAGAAATAAATGATTAGTTAATTGAGTTTATTGTGTTTTTATAATTTGATTAAATTGCTTCATTTTTTCGCAACTGTATTAAAAATAGTCGTTCAGTACACGTACGGAACCGTCATTGCAACTCGTTCCGACTGTCAACCCTCGCCTTCGGCTCGGGTAGACATTTGTCGGAACTCTTTGCAATGACAACCATTCCGTACTAGTAATGAAATATACTATATCGGACTGCCCGAACTTTTTTGCAAAGTCGGTGAGCAGGTCCGAAAGCTGGAGCAGCAGGCGGGTGGTGGCGTCTTAGGCGGGCGGCGGCGAGATTGGTGTCGCTTGGTTGCCATCATTGGGTGGTGGGGCTGCGGTGGGCGAGGCATCGCTCGCTCGACGACGTCTGCGGCGGCGTCGTTTGGGGCTGCTGGTGTTCGAGGGATTAGCGTTCGCGGGGGCCATCAGTGTGGCCGGCGCGTGTTCGTTCACCTCGGCGGGCTGCTGGATTGGCTCGGTGAAGCCTGGAGAGGAAGGAAGAACGCCCCCGCGCAGTGCCACCGCTGCCAGGGGTTCCGCCACTCCAGCCAGCGGCGGTTGCGCGCCTCGCGTTTAAGCGCGGGGCACGCGCTGTAGTTGGCAGGGTGCGCGCCTGCGCAATTCGCGCAAGTCGCGGGCTGCGCGAGCGGGCGGGGACAGTCGGCGGCTGCGTGCCCCGCGCTTAAACGCGAGGCGCGCAACCGCCGCTGGCTGGAGTGGCGGAACCCCTGGCAGCGGTGGCACTGCGCGGGGGCGTTCTTCCTTCCTCTCCAGGCTTCAATGGTGATCCCGGCCACATTCAGGAGATTACTCACCGAGTAGATGGCCGGGATGATGTCGGGAGTACGGCGGAGTGCAGCGTAGAACAGCGAGACGGGGCGGCCTGCTCGCGCCCGGATCTGCTTCGCGTATTCTACGGTGAAACCCTTCTCAGCGAGGGCCTCGGTGACGTCATGCGGCGTGGTGTCAAGGGGCAATCCGCGGATTGCCACCTTGAGGCTGCGGTCCTCTGGGCGGGTGTGCGAGTACCAGCTCAGTCCCGGTTGTCCCTCCAGTCCGGAGAGGTAGTCCAGGACGAGCCGGCCCTCGTCGTCGTCGATCGGTGTGAAGCGTATGCCCGTTCCGAACGGGCGCACGCTAGGTGAGCGGCCGAGCTGATGGTGGATGGCGCGCAAGTATTTCGGCCAGTCCCGCAGCTGCTCGACCACAATCGGCGGGTGCTTGCGGACCCGTTGGGACGTGATGCGGCGGTCGGTGTTTTTTTTTCGTCGGAATCGGGGGTAGGCGCCAAAATTTTCGCAGCCTCGGCATACGACTGCGTCGGTATAGCAGTCTGTGCGTGCTCTGTCGGTACTGCAGTGGGTTCTTTTTGTTGTGCGGCGGGGGCGGTTTCTTGCCTGGGTTGATGGTCAACTTCAGCTTCGGGGCTCTCTGCTTTTGCGGGTAGGGTTACCAGCAGTGCGGGAGCGTCTCCTTGGCTGCGTGTGCGGCGGTGGCGCGGGTGGCGCTATTGTGTCGCACGGGAGCGTCGTTCGTCCGGGTTTGGGGCTGGAGATTGTGGCATCAGGTGTACCTGCCTTCGGTGGTGGAAGCTTGAGGGGGATCAGATTGATCGACTTCATGCACTCTAATGTGCACCGGTCGTCAGGCTGGTAGTTGGAGGTAACACTCGCATCTCTCTCCAGGAGACGGAGGTAAACCCACAGCCAGTGGGGCCAGCCAATACAAAAATTGTTTTGTACAAACAATTTTTTTGTATTACTTACCGTTTTCAAGTTATAAATTGCGCAGGTATGAAAAATCCAATAGAGCGGTTTTGGGCAGTTCAAGTACACATTTGCAGTGCACATTTCAATGTACGTTTTACTTTTCTTTTTTTTGCATGATTGTAATAATTTACTAATGTACTTTGTGAATAGAGCAGATGGCCGAATTGGCCCACTGTGTTGGCACTCACTGTGTTGTATACGTAGCGCTGTATTGCACTGTAACATGAAAACTGTAAGTAATACAAAAAAATTGTTTATACAAATGCACGGAACAACTTTTCCATTTAAAGTTTTCCATTAAAATGATATTTTCAGCGTGAAAAAGTGAAAAAACACTTTTTCAGACTTTAGCGCCACCTACAATGCGCATTTTTTGTTGTACGAGATTGCAACAATGACATAAATTGTAGTACTCAACGCCCTCTACAATTATGGTCGAAAAAAAAGTTTCTAAAATGCATACAAAACAAGAAAAATGCGTTTCATAAAACTTTTGAGGGTTTTTTTGAGTTTTTCAAAAAACGCCTACGAGTTCAACATGCCCATCGCCAAGGTGGCTACCTAACGTCATTTGGCAACAGAAAAAACAAGACTTACCCTTTAGGTTTTTTTTTCACTGAAACGATTTTTTTTTCGGCAGATTGACTGTACTACAGGTAAGTTCGTTATACTTGGATAAGTTACCTTCTTGGTTCCCATGTTTGTTAAAGATAGTTCCTTTTTTAAATTACATGACAGACATGAGTTTAGTATGTTATTTAAATAAATAGGTTATATTTAATTCCCTCGCAAAATACATTCTCGATAAAAAAACATTAGTAATAACCTACTTTCCGTACGTGTAGGTACATAAAAAACTACTACCCTTACCAATATTACAAGTGTTACAGATAGTCAGAGACAGTTGTAGTTATAGTGTCGCGGACAGTCTAGACATAGTTGATTTTTCTTTAGTAGCATTTATATGGTCTGTCTACTATAGATTGAAATATGTATGATTTTTGTTCAACCACCCGAGCCCTGTCGTGTCCACCTCGTTCACATAGTGCTTTCAATCTGTGATAACAAGTTGTCACACACCCAATAGATTCGTGCCTCATCATGAATTACACATATAATACTATAAAGGCCCGTAACTCCGGAACCCGCAGGTTGTTATGAATTACTTCATACAAAACGTACGTAAAGTTTGTACCCGTGTCTTGCACAAGGATCTAATGAAAGCAAAGTGCAAACCCAGTGCGATTTAACATAAATCATCTTTTATTCGTCAATAGTCTACTTTTTATACTAGCAACATTATCTACATTCAACAAGTATTTGGGTAGTTCAGACACAGAAGTATATTTAGATGAAACCGCGGAACAAAGGGATTTTATTAAAAGCGCAAATTGAACGTTACCAGGAGTTCATAAATCACAAGGATGTGGTGGGGTTGAAGTCCGGTAAACCGAACGTGATAAGCGTTTGTAGCGAGCGATAAACCATTAATAGGAAGTGACAGATAATGGGTCGTCGCTCGCTCAACTCTAGCGGTTTCCATGCTAATGTCTCCGCCGCCTAATGGAAACTATTGTTCAGTCCATTTACCCCAAATATCTGTTTACACGAGCATGGGATATTTATTTTTCTCTCTCGTGTTAAGTGAATAAGTAGGTATTGTTGTGTCTTACTAGGAAGATTATTTAATGAGAATGAAATCTTAAACCGTATAATTTCGAGTGCTAAATTCATTTCAGCTCCAGTTTTTTGCTCATTTAATACTTGTTATCATGAAAAATAAGTAATTAGCGTAATAATTAATGTCCAAACAGGATCTTAACAAATAATTTTGATTGAGAATACGATATAATTTCCATTGTTAATAATCACTGAAATGTAATATTGCAAAACAAAATCTGGCCAGAGAGTATTTTGGGATGGTATATTTTCCTTATTTCCGATTTCATTAGGAGATATCACATCTTATTTTTTAATTTTACCAAAAGGTTTTAATAATAATCTGTTATCGACAACTTTTTTCACTTTTATTGGTTCTGTAATTAATTTTAAATAGGAATTGTTATCGGTTATGTTATCGCTAGGTGAACATAGTTCACCTAAAATTATTTTATGTTGTACTAAATATAGTGTTAGATTTACGCTATAGTGGTTTAACTATCGGTAGTAATAATAGATGACGTTGATTTATTTCTACAGCGCGATAGGTTCTGAAAGTGTTTGGGTTTTTTGTTTAAGTAGTTTCAAAAATCTGTCGCGATAAAGATAGAAATCAGTTATGTCTCAAGAGATATGTCTGAGGTTTTGTTCCTTCTTGCTCCTAATCCATTTTGTACTAAATCCTAAAAATTTACGTAAGTAAGTACCTATTCCTCAAAGAACGCAACCTGTAAAGTTTGTCCTTTAAAGTTAACCTATAGACTCGCCCTTTATAACGATATTAGATATTAAATTCCTCAACAGGCATCAGATTATTTTTTCTGAAAATTGGAAAAGTTTCGAGTGTCGTCGAGTGCCGCCCCGGCGAGGTTGCTTATCTCCCTGTGGAATCATTCCCTTAACTTTTCTAACCCTATTGGGCAAAGTGTTTTATAAATACGTCCACATTCTCCTGATTTGACAATGAATAAGTGAAAAATATATTTAAGACGTCCGTTAGGCGCTCATGAAACGTCAATTTCATCAGTCATCATAAATAATACAAAACGGATGGCGACTAAAAATTCATCAGTTATCCCATTAGATGACAGGTTACCCACCTGTCATAACCGTGATTGCCACCATACTGACAGAAAACCCTACGGTCTAACGGACGCCTCAAACTTTTTATTTATCGTTTTCTGATTCTTATATCATTGCGTCATCTATTCAGGTAGGTATAGCTAATCCGTTCATTGAAACGTTTGTCTGTTTCTTGTTTGTAACCAAGCGTCGGTAAATGTGTCAAAATTTACTACTTCTATATGATTGCCCCAACATGTTTTCTAATCAATGCTAGGTACCAAGTAAAAAGAGATTAGATAATGAATACCTATAAAAAACATGTTTTCGTTGTGTAGCCTGCTCTGAGGCACTGAGTTTGAATCCCGACAGGTTGTTTGATAAATACGACCTAAATCTGTATATATATTCTACAAAAACGTACATATATATTTAATTAAATGTACATATTTGTATCCGTTACCCTAGTATTACTGTACACTAACTAGCCTCTTACACGCT